CCCCAGCGCTGGCCCGCTGCCCGCGACCTCCTCCGCCGGGTAGTCAGGGACACACACAGCGGTTGGAGCGTCCCGGACCAAGGGGTCATGTGTGCTGAAGCCCGGAGAGTCAGGATGCGCGAGGAGGGCGCGGCGGGGGCCGGTGGGCCGTTCGGGGGACCGCGGCTTTCACACGAGAAAGCTCGAATTTCAGGTTATCCGCCGGCGTCAAGAACTTGAAAGCCCTTCCCGTTTTTTTATCTTCCCGTATGCAGCAGCAGCCCTACTTCCTCTTGGGGTCACGCACGGCTGTCCCAGTTGCTGTCCTCGCACGGACACCCATCGCCCGGAGGGAGACGGACGCATCCTTCCCAGAAGCACCCCCCGCCCCCGCCCGCCCCCACTCCCAATAATTGCCTCTGTGAACTGGCCAGAATTGCTTCGGTTACGTTACCTAGACCAGTCAGTGGCCCGAAGGGAAAGGAGACCACCACCAGGGCTCGAACCAATCAGGATTTCTCTCTGGGTCTGGGTCCCCTCCTCAAGTCTGTATCAGTCAGGCGCGGAGCCACTGGGGGATGCCACGGTTAAGGGGTTTGGCCTGCGGTTGCGGGGCTGGTTGGGTAGTCTGAAGGCTGCTACCCTGTGCCTGACGCCACAGCTGGAAGTGTGCGGAGCAGGTAGTCTGGAAGGGAAGGTGCAGCAGTGAGGACAGATGAACCTGCAGCAAACTGGACATCGGGAGCCCAGGCTGGACCCCACGGGGATGCGTGGAGCACGTGGCTGTCCTGCAGAAGCTGGCACTGTTGGTCACAGAACTACACACACACCTAGCCCAGGAGTTGGGGAAGCTCTGTGCTGGGCAGAGTGGGCCCCACAACATCACCAAGGTCTTGTCTCCATGCTGGGCAGGCTTCCCTGTCCTGGGCGGAGCGTCCGCACTGACCCAGCCTCTCTGTTCCAGGCTCCAGCACCTGTCCCCCACCCGGTGTTGGCTGCCCAGCCGAGTCGGGGCGAAGTCCATCGGGGGGACACAGCTGACTGGTCCCTGCAGAGACTGACCCACAGCCGTGACCTTGGAGGGCAGATATCCCAGCTGCCCAGTATGGATACCCCACCCAACGCTTACAAGCTGCTGCTGGACGCTCTCCCGGGCGGGTGGCCTCCCCCAGCCAGACGGCACTTTCCCAGGGCCTGGAAAGCACACAGGGTGCTGCAAGTCTTGTCTCAGCATCATAGCCCCACGACGGAGTCAGAGAGGGAGGACATGACAGCCCACTTGGAGCCACAGGAACCAGGACGATGCAGGAAATTGGCTTGGACCTTTCTTCCAAAGACTTCAGGAGAGTTTGTGTAGAACTGCCTCAGAAACAAGGTTTCTCCCCCAACCCTTCCTCCCCGTGTGGCTTCACCCTTGACAAGCCCCCTGGGCAGATCTGAGGTTCACTTTCAATTTAAAAGTGTACCGGATATCATGAGAGGACAGTCACTGTGGAGGGTGGCTTGGTGGCTCCTGTGTGTCAGAACTGGGGTGTGGGGGTGGAGACGCAGCCAGCCCCAGGCCTGGAGGGGAGCTCAGGCTGGTGACAGCCACCTCCCTGCCTGCTCCAGAGTGACGTTCTCCCAAGAAAAGGTAAAAGTGTCAAATGTAAAGAGCTCTGAATCCAGTGTGCGCCCAAGGGAAAAGGGGTGGACCAATGAGTTTCAATCTGCATCTGTTTGGGGAGGGCGACAATGGTGGGTGACAGGATGGGGCGGTGCCACGCCACCAGCCCGCAGACGTCACACGTGGACACGGCCAGCCCCTCCTGGTTCACCACACACGGGCTCTGCACTCTGGGAGCTGGGTGGGCGTCCCGATGCGCTCGCGTGAGCCTGCACTGGAGACGTCGGCCCCAAGTCTCCCAGCCTGTAATTCGTGTCACTGTGAGGCGGGTAGGACAGGACGTGGGCGACAGCCTGCACACACAGGGCACCCGCTGCACTTGTGCTCCCTTCTTGTTGTTCATGGAGGCCGAATAGTTTAGGTTAAGCGTGACTCCACTAGACACGCCTCGTTCAGGGTAAAGGAATGTCTCTAAAGAGGAGATTTTTAAAAAGCAGGCCTAGGAAGTGCCCAATAGACTGAGTCCCAGCTGCCTAATAACAAGACACTTTGGAACCTTGTTTTCTGCCCTTTGGAGGTGATTTCCTGGTGCACACCCTGATTGCTATGGATGAGGAACCTCAAGCTCAGAGAGGCTAAGGACTTGCTGGGGCCACACAGCGAGAGAGCGGGGCTGGGGGCCCGATCATCAGTCGCTGGAGGACTGAGGTTCCAGTGCCAGCTATTTTTCAAATGTGAAGAAAAAGAAAAGGATTCGAAACCTCACCAGTCACAGAGGATAAGAATGCAAAAATTCAACTGCAAAAGAGATAAGAGTTCTACCCCAGGGCAAGCAGACTGCAGCTCCTGGCCCTGCCTTAGTCCTTGACCAGCGGCTGGGCCCTCAGACGCCCTGCTCAGCTCACAGCGGCCAGCGCGTCCTTTCAGGGGCCTGTCTTGGGCAGCGCCGTCCGCCCCAATGTGGGTGGGGCACGAGCTCTGAGAGCCGGTGGCCAGGGAGAGCCTGCAGACTGAGGCGTCGTGCACACGGCTGAGTGGCCGCCACCCACCTGCTCCCTGGGGGCCGGGGACCCGCAACAGGTGAGGCCTCCTCCCCAGGCCCGCTCCTCCAGGCAGCCAGCGCGCCCAGCCCATCCCACCCCAGTGCCTCGCCTTGGTCCGCAGGCCCCCAGCCACCAGGAGCTCTGGGTCCACGTCCTCTGTGATGCAGCAGACAGACAGGAGCAGAGGCCTGAGTGCTCTTGCAGCTTTGTGTTCACGTGGGAAGCACATGAGTGGCCTGTGGTCCCAGAAGAATGAGAGCCCATGGGACCCACCCCAATGAATCCACGTCCCAGAGATGAGCCAACCACGGCCGCCCTGCAGACCTCGAGTCACAGCCGATGCTGGACACTGTGGCTGCCAAGTTTGGGGTGGTCACTATGCAGAGTTCTTATGGGAAGAGCTGGCTGTAAGGCTGCTTTGTCTCCTACAGACTTTCTGGGACATTGGCCAAGGTGACCCAAGGCCGCTCCCTCCGGGGTCCCCAGCGAGCAGGCATCTCCTCCCTCCAGTGGAGCCTCTTCACCCCGTCTTGTCTGCAGTCTCCTCTTCTGAGGTCCAGCAGGTAAATGCAGAGCTTGTGGATTATACGCTGAAGAGCGTGGGGCTACGACAAACTTAAACAAAAGACCACAGCCCGTTGTAAAGTCACAAGGCAGGGCTTTTAGTGAATTGACCGAGTTGTGCAGCCATCACCGTGCTCCAGCTGTAGCACATCCCCCTCGCCCGCCAGATCCCCACAGATCTGAGTGTTGACCTTCCTCATTCTCACCTCCAGCCCCAGGTAAGCATTGATTTGCTTTCTGTCCCTGTGGCATCTTCAGGATATTTCACATCAATGGAATCAGGCTTTTTTCATCCTATGATAATTCTGAGGTCCATCTGTGCAGTAGCAGTTATCAGTATTTCACTCTCTATTGCTGAGTAGTTTTCCACAGCATGGAGGTCCTGTTGGTTTATTCATTCACCCCTGATGGACAGTTGGACTATTTACACTTGGGGGATATTAAGAAGAGCATTGTTACGACTTTTCGTGCACGAGTATTTGAGTTGCCACATCTTTTCTTTTTTTGGACAGACTTCTAGGAGTGGAATTGCTGGCTCATCTGGTAAGTTTATGCTTGAATTTTTAAAGAATTACCTGTTTTCCTAAGTGGCTGTGCCATTTTACATTCTGATCAGCAAAACACAAGGATCCCAGTTCTGCCAATTCCTGGAAAACCCGTGGGAGGAGCTCTCCGGCCCTCGTTTGCTGAGAAGCAGGGCGTCCATTTCCTTCTTTGAAGGTGTTCCCCTTACCCCACGCCAGGAAGAGGCGACCACTCTGACCATGGAGATGGTCAAGCTGAGTCGTGTAACAGACTTTACCAAACAACCGTTACCTTCCATTAGTTCTCTCCATGTATTTATCTTCCCACAATTCACCTCACTAGAAACCCACACTGTTTTTCCTTTGTCTTGTCACTTCCCCATAATTTATTTCCCTTTTTTGAAATGGTATATAAACTCTTGGATATGATCACTTTCTGAGTTTTCACTTCTTTTCTGTGACCCCCGCCACCTGCTGTGTATACAAAATAAGCATTTTCTCCTGTCATTCTGTCTTTTGTCGGTTTAATTCACATGCCCCAGGAACTGAGTACAAGAGGATAGAGGAAAAGCTTTTTTTCCTTTGCTACAGTATTGTCTGTCTTTTTTATTGTGGCCTTTCAAGTAAGTATATAGTAGTAACTCACTGTGGTTTGAATTTTCATCTGCCTAATGATTCATGGTGGGAAGCACAGTTTTATGTGTGTATGTGCCATTGGTATGAAATAGTCGGATGTCTATTCAAGGCTTTTGTCTACCTTTTAATTGGGTGGCTTGTTTTCTTATGATCGAGTTGTAAAAGTCCTTTATATATTCTGTGTACAGGCCTCCAGAAATATGATTTGCAGTATTTCCTCCCAGTCTGTGTCTTTTTTTTGTTTTCTTAATGGTGTCTTTTGAAGCACAAAAGTTTTTGAGGTTAGTGGAGACCAGTTTAGGGTTTCTCCAGGCTCGTGTGTTCGGTGTCACAGCCAATAGCTCTTTGCCTAAAATTCAGCCGTGCAGGTAGTCCCCTCGGTTTTCTCCCAGTGCTTAGTGTTGGCTTCTACACTTAGGCCTCTGACCCATTATGAGTTAACGTTTATGTACAGTCCAGGCTTACTGTTCTCATATGGACCTCTCAGCGCCTGCTGTTTGCTTTGGGGGAATGTTCTTAATTATAAATTCCATTTTGTTTACATACATGGGCCCCTCACGTTTCCTGTTCTGTCAGTTTTGATAAATTGTATTCTTCAAAGAACTTCTCCATTTCATCTGAGTTGTGAGTTTATGGCACAAAATTTTCACAATACTCCTTTTTATTACTCTTCTAGTGTCTCTAGGCTCTGTGGTGATACCCCTTTTTCATTTCTGAAATGGCAATTTTCTTGCTCCTTTTTCTTATTCTGTAATGCCAGAAGTCTGTCGATTTTATTGATTTTTTGCAAGGGAACAATAATTTGCTTTGTTGATTTTTCCCCAGCATTAATTGCTTTCATGGATTTCTGCTCTGATGTCTTTTCCTTCCTTCTTTCTTGAATTTAAATTACTCTCCTTTTTTTCAGCTCCTTAAGATAGAGCTTAGATCACTGATCTTAAACTTCTCTTATTTTTCTCATATAAGCATTTAAAATTAGCTGCATCCCACCAATTTTATTATGTTGGTTTTCATAATATTCAGTTTTAAATATTTCATAATTTCCCTTAGGATTTATTACTTGGTCCATGGATCATATAGAAGTTAGCTGCTAAATTTCCAAATGTTTGTAGACTTTTAGCGTATCTTTATTGCTGATGCCTTATTTAATTTCTCTGTGTTCAGACAACATATTCTGTATGATTTCAAACCCTTGAAATTTACTGAAACTTGGGGTTTTTTTCTCCCAGGATATAACTTATCTCTGTGAATATTCCTTGCACACTTGAAAATAATGTGTGATATGCAGTCGTTAGTTACAACGTCCTATAGATGTCAGCCCAGTCAAGTTGTGTAGTAGTGTTCCCCAGACTTCTGTGTCAGTAATTCTGCATGTGTGTGCTTGTTCTGTGGACTACTGTGAGAGAAGAATGGAAATCTCCTGTGATGGGGGATAGTCTGCTCTTTCCTTGGGCTGTTGTATTAGTCAGGGTTCTCCAGAGAAACAGAATCAATAGGACATAGATGGATAGACAAACAGATATATAGATGTAGACATAGATGTGGATGTAGGTGTAGATACAGACATAGATGCAGATGCAGATGTAGATGAGATAGATGTGGATGTAGGTGTAAATGATGTAGATGTAGATACAGATGTAGACGTAGATGTAGATGTTGATATAGATGTAGATGACATAGATGTAGATGTAAATAATGTAGATGTAGATATAGACATAGATGTAGATGCAGATCTAGATACAGATGTAGACATAGATGTAGACATGGACGTAGACATGGACATGGATGTAAATGACATAGATATAGACGTAGACTTAGATGTAGATACAGATGCAGATGTAGACGTAGACGTAGATGTGGATGTAGATACAGATGTAGACGTAGATGTAGATGACATAGATGTAGATACAGATGTAGATGTAGATGCAGATCTAGATACAGATGTAGACATAGATGTAGACATAGACATAGACGTGGATGTGGATGTAAATGATGTAGATGTAGAACAGACGTACATGTAGATGTGGATACAGATGCAGACGTAGACATAGATGTGGATGTTGATGTGGGTGTAGATGTAGATATGGATGTACATGATGTAGATGTAGATGTAGACATAGGTGTTGATATAGATGTAGATGACGTACATGGAGATGTAGGCATAGATTCATACGTAGATGTAGCCGTGGACTTAGGTGTGGATGCAGCTGTAGGTGTAGATGCAGATGTAGACATAGATGTAGACATAGACATAGACGTGGATGTGGATGTAAATGATGTGGGTGTAGATGTAGACATAGGTGTTGATATAGATGTAGATGACGTACATGGAGATGTAGGCATAGATTCATACGTAGATGTAGCCGTGGACTTAGGTGTGGATGCAGCTGTAGGTGTAGATGCAGATGTAGACGTAGATGTAGACATAGACATAGACGTGGATGTGGATGTAAATGATGTGGGTGTAGATGTAGACATAGGTGTTGATATAGATGTAGATGACGTACATGGAGATGTAGGCATAGATTCATACGTAGATGTAGCCGTGGACTTAGGTGTGGATGCAGCTGTAGGTGTAGATGCAGATGTAGAC